TACCTTTTTTTCAGTCACCATTGAATCTTTAATTCTTGAATGCATGTTATGGTCCAGGCAATTATGCAAAAAAATGAACACAAGACTCAGAACCTTTTTGTAAATGTTTTTGATTTATGCATTTTAAAATGAGTCCTAAAAGACACCTGTTGTTTCTAAAAGCATCTGGAAGTGGGTTCAGTTTCACCAGATCAATGGATGAGCTTGCCTCTGAGGGACAGGAGTCTGTCCCTTCCCCTGAAGTTGATAGAATTCTGCATTCTTAGGACATTTTAGCATTGCTTTAAGGAAGTTATAGATTAAAAGGTTGGTTTTTTCTTCCAGTATTTTATTTGCAAAAGAAAAATAAGTTAGTGGTATTTGTTTCAATGTTATGCTATGAAACAGTATTTTAAGAGCTTGGTCACTCATATTTGGATACTTTAACTGATTTATTTAACAAAATGTGCCAAAACAAGGAAAAGAAATGCATTTCCTGGACATGCCAAGGTTAGTGCTTGAATGTGTTTGAAGTCGGGTGGCTTGAAGGCTGTAAAGTGCACATTTAAAGAAATTCAGTTTAACTATCCACTTCATCTTCAGGAAGGGTGTGTGATGCATTTTCTGTGTGATTTTGAAAGAAAGCCTACTTGAAGTCTGGCTTAGAATTATTAGAAATTGGAAGACAAGTACTCTTGAGTAGGGAAATGTCAGTATAAGACCCAAGCACTTGCTTTAGACTCACATATCGTATGTATTTTGTGCTATGGTAATTCAAAGTGCAAAAAAGACTTTTAGAACTACAGTGACATTAGCAAGTACTTATAATTTTAAATGAGGATAGGTTTTCTTTGTTTTATTAATTTTTAAGTTCATGTCTGAACTCAAGTTCTCACCCGAGAGCCAGGCTAAATACTGAGAAAGTGCATTCCTGACATAAAGAGCAAGTCAATACTTCTCAAATTAGAACAAATAAAATTCAAATACCTGAAACTCAGTATATATTGTCTTTTACTAATATGGAAATAATTTTTTATTACTGATTTAAAAAACCAACCTGGCAATCCCCTGTCAAGATTAAAATGCTTGCTGTTGTAACTGAATAGATGTGGACTATTCACTGTGTTTTTCACTTACACCCCACAATTATCAGGGACAGAAGTCCATTTAGATGCAATACTGTCTCATTGTAATATTGTCCCTACTGTGCCCTAATATTTAAGTTTCTGAATGAAAAAATGTAGTCTGTAGCCCTGTCTTAAATTCCTAAATTCCCCATTCAGTTCATTGCAAGGCTGCTAGGTGGAATTCAGAAAGGCTTTGTGCTTTTCAGAGTGGTGGGAAGGTTTGTGCTAACCAGAAAGAAGTACTGCAGAATGAGGCATATATCCTTAAAACATGCCCCTCTTTGGCCTGTATATAAGACAAAACTCACAGCTCAATTCTTTTGATTTCCCATGCCAAATGTTGTGCCTGGACCACGAATGAAGATGCAATGAGCCAGTTTTGGAAGCAGAAGCACGAGTGGTGAGGTCTGTGTAAGCCAGCATGGGTTTGGCAGCTCTGTTGCCTTATACCAGCTCAAGGGTGTTGCCAGCAGTACTGCAGATGCAAAGTTTCCTGTATTTGGGACTCAGCTCTCTTGTGCCTCATGACACAGTGCAGGGCCACAGGCCAGTGTTTTCTCTTGCTTGGTCCCAATTTCACACAGTCTGAAAGTGGCCTTAGGAATTAATGTAGTTCATGTGTCACTGAGGTGGCAAATGCAGCCCTGTGGTGGGTCACATCATCTGGCTGAGACAGCCCATGTGTGTTTGTGGGACAGAAAAAGGTCCTGTGGAAAGCGAGCCAGTAGTGAGCAAAACAGAATCAGTATCTGTACCTTGTCTCAAGATTTTAAGATTTTGACTCAGTGCTGCATCTTAGCAAGTGTGTTCAAGCTCAGCTTTTGGGGTTTTGGACTGCAGCTCTTTATCATCTGAAGTTTTTCTGAACAGTTGAAACTTCTTGGCTTTACTAGGTACCACAGCTCTCCATTCTGCTTTCAGTCATGGACTGAGTTGTCCTTTTCTGGAGTAAAAGCTGAGGCTTTCTTTTAAATCAAATGACTGCTTATTATCCTGTTTTTACATACACGGAATTTCTCTCCTTTGTGTGATCAGAAGTCAGCCATGAATCTTATTCTTTGTATTAAATTTCATTTTTTCAATCAGTGTCAGGTATAGTTTGAGGGGACCTGCTGCAGAAAAAAATCTTATTGTGCCCAACTTGTGACTTCCTATCGAAGTGGCAGGAGGAGAGGGGGAAAAACTCACCCTGCCACGCTGGACTCAGTTATGGGGTATTGTAAAATAAAACTCTAGTTGTTTAAAAAATGCACTTGTTAAATGTTAAGTGCCGTGAAGCTTTCAATTACTTGAGAAGTTAATTGCAGAGTTAAAAAAAAATATTGCATTTGGATTTAGTAGAAATTAGGTCATTCTGAATTGTTTGGAAGAGCTAGGCCTCAGCAGAGCAGGAGTTGTGGTTCAGTATTGTCACAAAGATACCAATACAGATATTCATAATTTTTTATTGTGCAATAAACCAGATGGCAAGAAAACAATGTGTTTCAGAGTTCTTTTAAGAACATAATTCTGAGTATTCAATTTTATTTAGAATTGCAGTTTGGTTTTTTGTTCCTCGGAGTGCATGCTTCACTTGTGAGATTTGGTTACGCAAGTCACATTGTATTCTTCCAGCCTGTTTTATGCTGAAAATGTAACATGACAGGATTGTTAAAAACTGTAATAAAATATTGGATCAGCCTAAGCAACCCTCTTTTGCTAAATGGCTTTCTGGAATGGTAACTTTTCCAGAAAAAAAAAATTCAAATATATAGCTAATTACAGAAAAACTGTGAGTAACATGCTGCTCTCTCTCTTTTCCCATGACCTTCTAATTTTATAATTTTATGTGTATGTGTGTGTGTGACCAATTAAAATATGACGGCACAGCAAAATAACATAGTCCAAATGCCCAGCAGCTGGGATATAGATGTAATAATCCATGTCCTTGAATCATAGGAAATAGAGAGGGGACAAGTTGCAGATAATTTAGACTCTGCTTCTGCCATGCACAGCTTTTGCTCTAAGTACATCTGTTAAATTTACACCTCATTTAATACACTGACATATTACTAAAATTATAGTGGTGTTTAGTTTTCTCAGTTTGTCTTTTCTATTAGAGAAATAAAATTCATCCTGGCTAGGAGAGACAGGTGGCCTAGATGACTTCTTGAGATTCTTTACAGACCGTTCTAATGTGATTGCCTGCTTTTTACTGACCTTTCTGTACCACATTTTGTCTTTGGATGATAGTGTTTTGCTCCATGTAGCTTTTGTATAGGTATCTCTTTCCATGTATTAGAAAGGAAAAGTGCTTTTCAGATTTTGAGAAAGTACTTCAGATATTTCTCTTCTCACATTTATCTTTTGAATCTTGACTCTTCCTTCACCCTGCCCTGGTTGGTTATGCATATCAGAACTGTTTGGGCATGAGAAATTGGTTCACATCTCTGTATTCATTCTGTAAAAAAATGAACTGAGAAACTGTAGTTAGGAGCTCATAAAGTGCTCAACATGCAAACTGCTTTTGCCTTTGTTTTATTGTTTAGTAGTGTAAAAGGGGGAGGGAAGAGAACTTGTTCTTTCTCTTCTGAGGTTGCAAGAACTTTTTTGTCTTTTTCTGCCATTTTATGATTATCTGAGGTCAGAAATCTTCTAAAAATGGACAGGACTCGTATTAGAGCAGGATTTGCCAACAGTGATAAGTAAAATTGCTCATTTGTGATAAGGGACCTATTTTTTTTCTGTGTCAAAATTCACTAAACCTCAGAAAATAGGAGTCTGCAGTAAAGAGTGTCAGAATTCACCACTGGGAATTATTCTCTAGGCATACTCTTAAGATGTTGGATATATCCACATATCTTGAAACAGCATCGATTATTCTTTTTTTATTCATCTTAAAAATTCATAATTAGCAGAATAGTGTGAAGATGCTATTCTCAGTGTTTAGCATTGATGGAGAGCATCATGGAGCAGTGGTTATCATTGATGGAGAGCATGCTTTTTTGCCCTGTGACTTGGTAAGCAGTGTTCTGCCATTGCATTCTCTTCTTCATTATTGTATGGACCACTCTTGTCCCAAGTGTCTTAAGCTACATCCAAAGCACATGAGCATTTGATAAGTTACTGATGAAGTGTGGGTAACTTTCTGCTATCAAAATGCCTAAAGCCATGTAGGAGAGTTCTGTTTTAGAGATGCCACAGATCTTTAATATTATATATTGATAAAAAAATCAAAGGTAAATAAATGTTCAGTTTATTTCAAACCTAAGCAAACTAAAACTGAAATATAAGTATATAAATATCTGCTCTGCAGCACTGTGCTGCTGGATATTGAGTACTTTCAGATGTATCAGAATTCCCTCTGATTTCACTGGTAAGTGTGGTTACTCAGTATTTCACAGGGTGAATTCAGCACAGAGGAACAAGCTCAATTTTCTGAAACTTTTCTTGCAGGTTAGTTCTGATCAATTCAGATCTATTTAGATCAAGTTGAGATCTGCGAAAGCAATAGGTGTTGTGGATTGTCAAGACTTCTCAGCTGTGTCTGCTGCTGTTTGCTCTCTGAATAGGCCTAGACCTGTCCTCATGGAAACTGCCTACAGAGTATAGAGAAGAAAGTCTGAAGAATGTACATCTTAGATCTGTACATGTATTTGCAGTAGATGTTTATGAAGGGCTTATGGTTTCTTTCTTTTTTTGGTAAATTTTCCCTTGAAGTGTTCTTATACAGTCTTCCGTTGCTACATTAATCTTGAAAGTCTCATACAGACTAAGTAGCATGACTTGCAGATTATGACAAATGGAAAAGACAAAGAAGGAAAAAAATAATTTTCAAGCTTTTTTTGACAAAAGCTTTGTGATATAAATTAATATTGATAACATTTAAGTCTCTCATTGTGTTCTGTTCCACAGGCAGCAGGAGCAATTCGTCCTTTAGTTTCTACTGTTATTGCCTCTGCTCCTGATGGCTGCTTGGACCACTCACTGGAACGTGCCAGGTACAGAGCAAGTGAAATGCCTCAGGCTTTCTTGTTTGATATAATCTATGAAGCATACCAACAGGTAAGATATTAAGGCTTTCTAAGACCTTTTTTCCATTTACTGCAGTTAAAGAAAAAGGTAACTTAATTTCTCTTCTTTCAAGAATAGAGCTTCAGAAACTATTTCAGATTACATCAAACTGTATGCTTATTACTTCTGAGTCTTTTAAAAAAGGCTTATCATTCTAATTTATTAAAATTTTTGATTAGTTACCTTTTAAATACAAGAGGGGGTGGCAGGTCTAAATGGCTGGAAAGACATTATTGTGAATTAAATACTTAAATGAGTGGTTTATATGTTTTAAGTTAGGTGTCTGTATAAAATATTGTTGACTGAGAGTATCAAAGGGTTTTGGATGCACAGTGTAATAATGACATTTTATAGTAATTTAGTGGGATACAGGCTGTTCTAAAATACTGAGATAATATAACTTGCTATATCTAGGTAAATGTTCATTCTGCTTCTTGTTGCATGTGTATTACATACTTTGATTAGTGGCTGAAAATAGTTTACTTGTCTCTGTTGTAATTTTTCATTTTTTCCTAATATATTACTTTGAAATTAACTTTATTCAGGAAAATTAAAGTTGTGTGTAATGTATTAAACCCTGACTCTTTTGCCTTAATTTGCCCTGAAGACTGCTTTCATTTGCCCCACCCTGCATTCACAGTTTACTGGAAACATTCCAGGCTTTCGTCTCAGCACTGCTTCCTTTTCATTCATCACCTTGTGGAAATTGCCTGTCCAGGTATCTTCCAGACTGACTGGAAGCAGAGCATTTCTTCATTTGTCACTTGGAAGCAATTATTTTTCGTGTTCATGCTGACAGTCATGCTTCCCATCAGTTTTTCAATTCTAAACAAGCCCAAGTTTCTGATACTCACTTTCAGAGAGTACAAAGCTTAGAAATCACTAACAAGAGAATGTGAGGACAGGCAATGAAGAAGCTGTTACTTAATGTTGGCACAAATTCTATGTCATACCTTTTATGCTTGATACTTGAAGATATTAAATGCTGAAGATGAAGGCCTATCCAAAATGAAGAACTACTCAAGAGATTGGACTGGCTTCAACCTTTTTGCTTCTGACAGGAGGCAGGGGGTTGTTCTTAGTATATGACACACAGCTGATACTTCTGAGATTCTACCTTGAATGTAGTGGGTATGCTTATAAGAAATGTATCCTCTATGTGCATAAGAACACATCTCAAGAAACCACTGCTGCTGTTGGTTATACAACCCTTTTTGATGTGTGTATCTTTTAGCAAATTTCATGTTCATGTGCTGTTTCTTGCAACCACCTTCCCCTCCAGCCCCCAAACAACCCAGTACTTTTTCTACCATGTTTTTTTATAATTTGCAAATACGGTAGAGCTGGCAAATACATAAAAAGCTCTTGTCCTAAATGCCTCACTAAAAAGACAACTATATTTGCAGTTCCTGTGCTCCTCTGAATAGAGTTTTTTTCTCACATATGCATTCCATCAGTCTTCTCTTTTGTATCCCTGCTCTTTCAAGAATAAGCCACCAAAGTTGTTAGAAGCAACCAAGGCTATGGTTTCTTGTCCCCAGTTTCCTTTGCTTTGGCTAAATTCTGGTCATTTTAATGCTCTGTGCCTGGACCCTTGGGAAGTATAACACTTTGCTAAAATCTCTCAACTCATATTGTTTCCTAATAATTTATGTTTCAATGGTGTCTAGCTGTCCAAGTCAAGGATTAAGACCCTATTGTTCTGGGAACTGTACAAACAAATAAAAAAAGACAGATAATCGTTGTCCTGAAAAACCTAGTCAAGCTACTGTAGGACAGATTTTTGTAGGAATGGGTGCAGTTTATGATGCTTTCTAAATGTTAAGGTATCCATAATCACTTCCCATAACCTGGTGAAGGTAAGTACCATTGTACAGATGAACAAAGACGAGAAACTAATTTTGTTAGTCATGTTGCAGGTCATTCACAAAGCTGGGAATGGAATTTGTTTTGGCTGACTCTGCCTGGGATCATGATCCCATGCCTGTGTATTTTATACAGTTGTGACCTTTATGCAACAACAGTGTGGGGAAAAACAACAGTCAAACATGCATTCCTTGGAAAGAAACTGTCCATTTGAATTAGTGCTTTGAGTAACACAAGCTTTGCAGTTACACAGTGGTAATGTGGAATACTGCTTTCAAACTCCATCTCTATTTAAGTGCACTGTCAGATGTGAGTAGGTAGGTTCAGAATGTTGACTTCCAGATATGTTTGTGAGTGTTAGATATCTGAATATATTTACCACAAGTTGCAAAATTTAGTTAGAGGTCAGATACCTGACCCTTACAGCTTTGCTATCTGCAGTGTTTTGGCTCTTCTTCTCTGATAGCAATCTGGGAAGAGCAGTCTAGAGGTGTTTCTCTTTTTATAGCTGTTTTAAATTTTTCTAGAGGTGCTTCTCCTTTTATAGCTGTTTTAAATTTATCTAGAACTAGAACAGAGTAAGATATTAACACTATTAATATATGGAAAAATATATTTGTATGATCTTTAACAAATTAGGTAATTTCCTTAGAAAACATTTTCCATTTCTAGCTCAAATAAAAAAAAGGATAGTAGTGATTTGGGGAAAAATACATGCCCTGTTGAATCTCCTCTAATTAGTTTTAGGTACAAATATCAAAAGTTTGATTTACACTAGTATCTTAAAATATATGTGTACTACAGGGAATCCTCTTCACATTTGGTGACAAAAATTCAGGGCAGATTTTGAGGAATTCAGTCAGGTTGTTCACCTGCATTTCATTGTGATGCTTTTAATTTAGTTTTCAGTCTTACATCTTCCCTGTTGCCTAAAACAAGTGTTCCAAACAGATCTTTGTTCAGACACATATTACTTTCTGCTTTAACTGTTATCATGTCAAGACTTCTGACTTCATAACTATTAACTTTCAAATTTATACAATTTATAAGCTTTATAACATTTATAAAAGTTACCAGTTTTATTTGTACAATGTGTATCTGGCTTGGGGTGGACAAGTGACCAATGCAAATAACTGCAAGGGGAGAAAGAACTGTATTTATAGTGTGTGTGGGTCTTGCAGGTGGGAGGCTTTATGTTAGCCTGGGATTTTCCTTGGGATTTTAGGTAAAAGGACATATAAATTTGTTTAGGGAATAAAAAGGACATATAAATTTCTTTAGTGGTGTTGCATCAGTACTCTTAGTTCTGCTATGTCCTAATTTGTGAGTTCTCCTTTCCTGCACAATGTAATGAACCACAGTAAATGGACAAATAAAAAAAATTTAAAACAAAAAATGCAAATCTCTAATAACTAGTAAAACCTCTGGAAAAGTTCCAAAAAATTGGCAGAATCTATGATTTACTTCAGTTCTCAACTATCTGGGGCAAAATCAGCCAATTGAACTCTTTAAAAATAATTTTTATTTTATTATGTTAATAACAATTTCCTAATCTTTAAAAATACTTGGTTTTTTTTTCTATTTTTATCAATCCCAAGGAAAATCAAGAAAGTTTAAGTGTTAATTGAAAATCCATCCTGTCCAAAGATAGCAAATAAGGTATAGGTTCCTTAGACCAGACTTGTTCATTTTTGCTTAAGGTAGTTTCATGTTTCTGTTCCACTTCTTAATTTAAATAGGAACAAATGTGGAGTATGAGCCTGCAAGCCTGGGAGGAGGTGGGTGGGGGAAAGACTTCACTTACCAGAAGTCAAGTGTTCCCTGGAGCAGTACCTTTTAAAAGAATTAGAGTATCAGGAAGTCAGGTAGACTACCATTTTCCTTTAATCAGAATAGGCTGAGACTGATTTTTGTAATACTTGTTTTTGACATATTGTGAAATGCACAAAGATCTCAAAGGTTTTTTTTGGTCTTTTACACAAAGCATCGTGTTGTGTCATGTCATGTGTTCTGTACAAAGTAATGCACCTACTGTACATAAAGGCTGAAATACTCAAAGCATTGAACACTTGAAATATATCTGCTAAAGCAAGAAAGGTAACAGGAACATTTAAAAAAAGCATTACCCTTCCATGATCTGGAAGAGAAATAACCAAAAATGGAAGCAGAAGAGGAGTGGGGTAGGTGGGAGATTCTGACTAGCTTCTATGTCAGATATGCAAACAAACAGCTCTGCTAAGATGATGCAGTGGTTAAGGGGTTGTCAGCATGGGTGTGGAAAATATCAGAGTTGCTCCCCAGTGCCACCAGTCCAGGGAAGCCAAGAACCTTGTGAGAGGGAATAGTTACCAACAGCTGAAAAAAGAGCAGGATATGTTAGAATGCTATGTGCAGGAATCCTTGATATGTGAGTGGTATGGCAAAGTCTGATCACTAATTCAAAATTAAGGGTTAGCTTTTTAAGAATCTTATTTAAAAAGTACACATTTTTGTTCTGCTGATAATTTATACATTATTTTACAATTTTCCTCAAGATCTGCTATATCTGTGGAAATTTATTGCAGGAATTACATACTTTTTGGGGAGGGTGGGGTGTTTGTATTACATGTATAGTTAGTTTAATCATCTGTCCATAGTAGACCTTTTGCAGAGCATGGAAGTTTATATTTAGCTAATCAGAACAATGAAGCTGAAGTGAAAAAAAAAATAGGAACAGGAAGCAGGAATACTCATTGAAGGAGAATGAGCTTCAACATGTTTAGAGACGTTTCTCTGATTCATGTTTGTAACCTCCTTACAGATATCCACACAGATCAGTGTGATCTTAGGCATTCTATCTAATCTGTGTAGAAAATATGTAGGGATTAGTACTTTTTGGGGCTACACTGAATTAGTGTAACTCTTCATAGCCAACATTAAGCACTCTTTGAATATTAAGCAATTACATTTACTTATGGGCCATCTGCCTGCATAGGAGAGAACAGCTATATATAAACATAGTAATGACAAGATACACAACAATAGTGTGTCAGAGAGAATCATTCACATACTTTGATGCTGAATTCTGGGAGGCAGATGTTCTTCCACTCCCCAAAAAAATCATTGCAAGATGTCCATGGATTGGG